TGGGCGTCCGCTGGTCTGGACTCTGGAGCTCTCTCTCTTGGCAGCTGCTGGTCTGGACTATGGAGCTCTCTCTGGGCAGCTGCTGGTCTGGACTATGGAGCTCTCTCCGGTCTGCTGCTGGTCTGAAATCTCTGTGGGTCACGAGTCGACGGGGGGTAGGCGCACTGTGGTCAAGATGGCATCGACCAAGCCATCCTCGCGGGCTGGCTGACCTCGATCGTACCTCAGCGGGCGTTTCCTCGCATTCTGGTCGCCCCGTCGGGCGTTGCGGGCGCGCCGGGTGTAATGCACGGCAGCATGATCCCAGCCCGGCCACTGGAGGGTGCTCACGGTCGACGTGTGATGGCGCTCTTTCCCGGCGTATAGGTGACGCTAGCGTCGCGCGGGCTGACCGTAACCCGCTCGGCAGCCTGCTGCTTCAACTGGACAGTAGCCTGGATGACCCAATTCATTAAAATCATCAGTTTAATGACAGTCTGCTGATCAAACAACATTGCCAGTAACTGAACTTTTCGAGTTCAACCGCCCTGCGTTGCGGTCGAATTCGTCCACGGGTTACAGGCGTGGTGAGTCCGTACGTGACGAATTCAAACGAAACTGCCGCCGTTCTGTCGCGACGCCACGAAACGTTCCCTTAGTAGTACAGGTCACACCAACTGAAGTCCGGTATCTGTTCTGTTATGTGCTTCTTCTCAATACCCCAGCGCTTCTTGCAACTGGTGCACCAGCGCCTTATGTGCTCACATTCTGCAGATGCATTCTGGCATCTGTCTGAAGCGTGAGCGCATACCGTGGTTCTAAATAGGCGTGGGCGGCGGCACGCATATTTGGTTGCGTGGACGGCAGTGGTGTTAGCCATAGGTGAAAATTTGATCTACCTGCCTCTTGACCCAAACATTTTCCACTTCGGATATGTGCTGTGGGCTGAGCGATGAGGTTCTGTGGTGGCGAATCCGTCGCGTTGAAGTCACTACCCTAGGGATGTGGCTTAAAATGCGTGTTTTGGTGAGGGGCTAGAGGGGTTAAAATGACTAAACCTGACCTTAAAAAACACAAAAATCAGGCTTCTCCCCTGGCCTGAACTGCTTTCCCGTCACAGTTTGGGAACTGGAGTCTCCCCAGCTGAATATAAATTACGCTCTTGTTCCCATACGTTTCTTCCCTCCATCTCGGCACGAGATGTCGTCAGGCATCACTTCAGGCATTTTGTTGGGTCACAATGGTCGGAGCCAGGTTTCGTTAATCGACGTCGAGTCGATGCTGTGTAGCTCTAGACATTGTAAGACGTGTGCGGCTTCGGAAACAAAAAAAAGTCGAAGTGCGCGACTATAACAGGCTGCCAAGGAAACTCCCGGTCGATAGCCGTAAGGCGGCCTTCAAACTCCGACGCAGCATTCACGATAGGCACGCTCGGAACCTCTAGCGTGGTTTTGCTGATCATTGTCGGACGATAAGCACTATCATTTTATTCGCGTGGTGTCGACCGTCAGGTTTTCGTACTGTTTCAATGACTATTCACGTCAAAGTGAAGAAAGACACGTCCAAGCATTCTTCCGAACGTAGCAGATAGTAAGCTGGTTAAGTGGATGCGATCCTATGATAACAATGATTTCGGGCAGCGAATACGGCCAGTATAGAAGCGGCTCGACATAATGGCCATAGAGTAAGAATGTTTTGATGACCTAGAACTTCAACGAGTGTAACGCCCAAGATGTGGTGGCGCAAGACGTCTTTGATGTGGTGTCTCAGGGATGCCCAATGTGTGGTGGCTCGGTATTATGCGAGGACAATAGAACACTGTGTTGTGACTTCTGGAAGACCTTTTATATCCGACAAGTTTTTACAGGTGACCCAGTCGCAAACACCAGGACCAAACTTCATTCTGGTAGTAATGCGGATATTTGTCAACCGACAAATGCCGAACCTTCTCAGAAGGAATGCGGTTATTTTGGCGCAAGCCCCGATTGGTCAACGCTGTGACGTCATACTGACGTCACCGGCGTCATATCACTATTATCAATCTCGATCCGCCCACTGGTTCGTGGGAGTAGTGTTGGCGTAATGGTGAGGCTGTTTGACCCTAAAATTTATCGTGCAATGCTAGGGCACTTGCTCTGTTGAGTGAGGTAGATATAGTGTGCAAGGTCAAAATATATCTGGACGACATAGGACTGCGGGAAGCAGCTCGTCACATCTATTCTGCACATTTCTTCTGGTGCGGAGATTGACGAGACGTACTGAAAAGGTAATGCCTAGTAGTAAGTAGTGGGTACTTTATAGAAAGGTAGATGCCTAAGCACTTGAACTCGTTTGTGCTGTTTTGCTAGGGGAGTTAAGTTGTGGGGTCGAGGAGAGGTTATCTGCCTGGGAAAAGTATAGCACATGCCCCTCCAGTTGGTAAGGAGAATATTGCATGAGCCTTGTTGCATATCATGATACAGGTGGATTGAAAAGGCACTTGATCATCAATATTGTAACCTCCCAGACCACTGTTTCTAATCTTGGGGTTCTGTACTTTATGGAGCAAGAATTGAGTTTCAGGTAGTTCCTTAAAATAAAACATTGTGAAATTCTCTTCAGCTGTATTCCTGAAAATTATTACATGTATGTCTCTTAATCAGACATGGACTATCTAAAGCATTGTTCTGGACTTATGCTGTTTAAGGTTGTTGTGATGCTGATTTGGAGTGGCATCCTTTATCACTCATAGGCTAGATTTAAGCAGGGCTAAGGTCTTGTAAGGTCACAAAACTCTGATAACTGCTCATGTCTTGTGTACTGATCTGCTGCCATTTGTCTGATTTAGATGATACTGATAATAACCAAGGTAGGACTGAGGACTGAATTTGATTGCATTACTGGGTGACAGTCAACTGTGTGTACCAGTACTGTCTTAAATACACCACCCAAAACATTTATTTGTGGGAAGTGGTATTGCACTAGTTTACCTTATAAATGTTGCATAATTGAATATAATTACACCCTGTATCACAATTTACCATACCACCATTGCAGTAACAAAGCTCAGTGAGAAATAATGAGCATTACTATTAATCAATTATTAACTAGCTTGACCTAACAAATGTATTACTAAAAACAGGATGTGATTAAATTATCACCATTGCTGTTGTAGAGCCCACATCATGCTAAGCCTAGGTCACATGGTCTTTGTGTATTGAAAAAGATCAGAATGGTCATTGGTGTGGATGGGTTTTGGATGCCATTATAACCATACCAAGTCTTGTGTTGCCCATTAAACCCTTGAGAGCTAGATGAGCTCAGATGAATTATTGTGTGAACAATTGAAAGAAAAATCTTGAAAGGGTAGCTTTTTTACAAACACATTTTTTATCATCTCTAATGGGCAGGTCATAGGAATGCCATTTGTGTTATAAAATAACTGCATTACATGTGGTGAACGGACAGTAATACATAGTCGCCATGACATCACATGCATAAAATTGTCTTCAAATAGCCCTATTTACATTGTGGCTGTTGTGCTAATTTTGCTCATGGGATTTGGATAGCCTTCAGATATCATGGCAAGTGTGCCTTAATGGTAGAAATAGGGACATTAGATATCCATATCATTGATATCACTATCACACTGGCATACTGATATAGTTCCATGCACCCAAAATTCCAAATTTGATTTTTCAAATATGCCCATACTTGAATTGCACATATATGTATCATAGTGCAATTGGGTCAAAGGGAACCCTGTGCCATTTATTTGGCAATACTTAGGCAGAAGTTGGGCTGAGCAAGGTATTATTTGTACCTTCAGTTTATCAATGTGTTGGCAAAACCTTCAGTGGGAAAATATTGTACTTTTGTCATGCTTCCATTCAGTGCAATTTAGTGGTGCAAAATTATAAACTGATTCATCAAAGGAGCAGCACATATGATGGTCAGCAAGGCATGCAGCTTCTCATTATTCAAGCTGTTTGCATAATTGATTGCCTGCTTGAGCTCTAGCAAGTGCAGATTATTATCAGATTTAGGTTATGTGCCCTATTTTGTTCTTTTCAATTTTACTTTCAATCAATAAAACAATTTTTTTCTGATCTCCATACCACCAAGACTCTAGCAGAAAATATTGTGATTGTGCACCAGTGTATCTTGAACAACAAACTAGCAATGCAGTCCATGTATTCTAAAAAAACTTTATTGAGCCTCTTGCTTAATGAATATTTATATGTATTCATATAGATTTAGTATTTAAAAGTTTGTTGTGCTCCCCCTCCCCCATTATGACCTGTTAATGATATTGACTTGGTTGGAAGCATTTGCATTTTAACTAACACTTACACTAGCAAGCACTGAAAATCGAAGAACAGAGCGGCTGTGTTTTTAGAAAATCGCTTTCCACAATGCATTTCATAGTTTCACCACTGACCTTATCTGCATCTTGCTTACGCCCATCGCCCCCATCCCACATGCGGTTTGGTGGTCCAGGGCTTACATACCACACCCAGACTGGTGCCTGCTGCCTGAAACTCCTCTCTTTCTGCCCGAAGCCTTATCTGTCACATAAGTCTGTGACCTCTCACCACCCATATATGGCCTCTTCCCACACTGGTTCTCGTCTCCCAGGCCTGAAGCTCGCCCCCTCCCCCCACCCGCCCTCTCGCTGGCATTCCAAAGTTCAGGTTGTCTGCAAAACAGGAGCTCGTCTAACGTTTTTCGTTTCATCCTGAGCCAGATCCCGGGGCTTTAGTACCGGTGGGTGATGCAGAACAGCATATGTTGTGACTTCTGCTTAACGTGCAGCTCGGTTCCGTCATGATTCAAGGATGAATACCACCAGTACCGCGCACTCTGATGTTGTCCATCACGAAAATTGTTGAATTGTAGGGATCACGTATTTGTCGTGATCGCGATGACTGAAGACTGCTGCACAGTGATGGGCACAAAATGACCAGGGTAGTCCTGGCGCGCACAAGCAGCCAACAGCCGACCAACGGCCCTGTTCCGCCTCGCAGCCCTTGCGCGCCGCCATGCCGGACCACTACCTGCTGCAGTGGAGTAACCACCTGAGCAACATCGCGGCCGCCTTCTCCAAGCTGCGGCACAACAACAAGCTGGTAGACGTGACGCTGGCGGCCGATGGCCACTCGATCCAGGCGCACAAGGTGGTGCTGTGCGCGTGCAGCGCGTACTTCGAGGTGAGGCCCGCGGCACGCGCTCGTGACGCGGCAAACAGTCGGTCCGTAGGCGCGTGACTCGATCCAGGCGCACAAGGTGGTGCTGTGCGCATTGTGTGTGTGCGCACTGTGCGCACATAGTGCTTACTTCGAGGTGAGGCCCGCGACACGCGCTCGTGACGCGGCAAACAGTCGGTCCGTAGGCGCGTAACTCTCGATCCAGGCGTACAAGGTGGTGCTGCGCGCGTGCTGTGCCTATTTCGAGGCGAGGCCCGCGGTACGCGCTCGTGGCACGGCAAACTGTCGGTCCGTGGGTGTCTACCGAGGAGGAACGTGTGAACAGACGCGTTGAGGAGGTTAAAAGAGTCGTTAAAAGGAGGCGGGGCTCGATTGGGTGTGATGGGGCGTATGGAAGCTATGGAAGGCGACGTATGTCGAGCTACGGTGTTGGACCAGTGACCGAGAGCTCGGTGAGTCCGTGACGTAATGCCGTCCGTGTTTTGAGTGCTGCAGCGCCCAGTGGAGATATGCCGCCGGTGACGTAGGTCGTGAAACAATCCAGTCAATCAGATAGTGACGAATGGGCCTTTTATACGGGCTTGTGTTTGTGCTGACACTCCATCAAGGTCTCGCGGCGTTGCTGGTGCGTTTATTGAGATAAGGAGCACTGGTCCTTGGATCTAACCGCTAACCGCCCGCTCGTTAACCGCTCGTGTTGTCTGAGGGGTTACTATCAGGAAGGTCCCGTAGTATTTCCGCTGTTTGAAGGGCTGGCTGTGAAGGGTTGTCGCTGGTGTTGAAATCCGCAGAGGGACAGGCAGTAGATAGAGGGAGGGGGAGGGGCAGATCGATGCCCAGGGGTACAGCACTGCTTAAGGAGACCGAACTATGAACGCGACGGAACCGTTGCGTTAAAAGTTCACTGTCCCCACTGGTGACGCCCCTTGACAGGTCTGTGTTTTGGGATGAATGCCGATCATAGAACTGCGCAAATCTCCTACGGTCCCGTCGTCACTGGACCGCCTGTGCTTGAGCGGTGCCTGTCCCAGCGTTCGTTCGCACCGCCATCGCGAAACAGAGCCTCGCGAAACGCTATAGTGCCCGTGAGAGGCTGCCAGAGCGCGAGGGAACCCGAGAGCGTGAGCAGTGCCGGCACGTGACACCGCGCCTGTTTCCAGGAGCTGCTGTCGGCCAACCCCTGCAAGCACCCGATCGTGTACATGAAGGACGTGCAGTACGACCACCTCAGCGCCGTGGTCGAGTTCATGTACAGCGGCGCCGTCTACGTGGGCAACGAGCAGCTGGAGGAGGTGCTCAATGTACGTCAGCGGGAGCCCCGGGTCCGCGAGCTGTGATCCGGCACGTTCACGGGGGGGGGGGGGGGCGGTCCGCCGAAATGTCCCGCGCATCGGGTTATTACCTACGGCCACTGCGTCATCATGAGCTGTTCCTGGATCCGATACCGCCCGGCATTGGCCGCCCGTTGTGTGGCAGGATACTAGGCTCGTGGTTTGGCGGTGCATAGTCGGTGACCGTGTGGTTTCCGTTTCCGGTTGTCTATTTCCCGTATTCTGCGTGCGATATGGACTGGGGTATCCCGGCGCCATCGTGGTCTGAGTGCGACTCATCCTGCTCCACCTCCGGCGCGTGTGCCATCTCCTGTCCTGCCATCTCCGACCTGTGTGCACCTCACCAGACCGCGCAACGCCGCCACCCACAACCAGGCTCCCTCCTTCACACCCCTTGTGTACACCGCCAGACCGCACAAAGCCGCCACCCTCAGCCAGGCTCCCTCCTTCACACCCCTTGTGTACACCGCCAGACCGCACAAAGCCGCCACCCTCAGCCAGGCTCCCTCCTTCACACCCCTTGTGTACACCGCCAGACCGCACAAAGCCGCCACCCTCAGCCAGGCCCCTCCTTCACACCCCTGTGTACACCGCCAGACCGCACAAAGCCGCCACCCTCAGCCAGGCGCCCTCCTTCACACCCCTTGTGTACACCGCCAGACCGCACAAAGCGCCACCCTCAGCCAGGCTCCCTCCTTCACACCCCTGGTGTACACCGCCAGACCGCACAAAGCCGCCACCCTCAGCCAGGCTCCCTCCGTCACACCCCTTGTGTACACCGCCAGACCGCACAAAGCCGCCACCCTCAGCCAGGCTCCCTCCTTCACACCCCTTGTGTACACCGCCAGACCGCACAAAGCCGCCACCCTCAGCCAGGCTCCCTCCTTCACACCCCTGGTGTACACCGCCAGACCGCACAAAGCCGCCACCCTCAGCCAGGCTCCTCCTTCACCACCCCTTGTGTACACCCGCCAGACCGCACAAAGCCGCCACCCTCAGCCAGCTCCCTCCTTCACACCCCTTGTGTACACCGCCAGACCGCACAAAGCCGCCACCCTCAGCCAGGCTCCCTCCTTCACACCCCTTGTGTACACCGCCAGACCGCACAAAGCCGCCACCCTCAGCCAGGCTCCCTCCTCATCACACCCCGTGTGGTACACCGCCAGACCGCACAAAGCCGCCACCTCAGCCAGGCTCCCTCCTTCACACCCCTGGTGTACACCGCCAGACCGCACAAAGCCGCCACCCTCAGCCAGGCTCCCTCCTTCACACCCCTGGTGTACACCGCCAGACCGCACAAAGCCGCCACCCTCAGCCAGGCTCCCTCCTTCACGTCCCGAGCTACGAGCGAAGCGGCTGTGATTGGCCAGCACGGCTTAGTTGAGACCGTGCTGGCCTGGGTGCGGTCTGACCGGGGCCCCGGACGCACCGCTGACCGCCGCCATCGCCGTGCCCGGCAGCTGGGGGCCAGCCTGCGCGTGCACGGCATGGTGGACGTCAAGAGCACGCCGCGCCAGGGCTCCAACGACGAGAACAGGGACCCGGAGACGCCCGCCGCGAAGAGACGCAAGCGTCCGCCGGCCCTCTCCCGGGAGAGCTCCACAGATGATCCTGGTATGGCGGAGCCGGGTGGACGTCGAGGGACGGGAAGGGTCTAGTCGTCCGGGGGGAGATAGTATGTGAGAGTCGTTCGATGAACTTTAAAACACCTCCGCGAAAAGGTTTTCTTTGAACGTGGATTTCTGCACTGGGGTGGTGGGTCAGGGTTCTAGCGACAACTTGCTTAGCGAAAACACCAGGAAAGAAAAAAAAACACCAAAGAAAACACTTCCGAAAAAAGCGCGGCCAAGTTCTAATGTTCATATCTCCATGTTCACATGGCAGACTTATTTTTAGACGGCATCCTATCAAAGACAACTTACTATTGACCAGCTTCGCAATTTGCGTTGGACATACGTCCCCAGAAGATTTACTCAACAAACGTTTCCAGTACGTAAGTGTCAACTGATTATAATGCGGCAGGTTATATAATTATGTTGTAAGTTATGACTCATTCATTGATTACGTACGGTGAGCTCTCCTCCTTGGGCGTGGCGCACAACTCGCCTATCCATGGGTAGCGGAGTGGGACGCACGCCGAGATCTGCATTGCCGCGCGCTCCGTCCGCCTTTGAAACGGGACGCGGTGGGCGTGCGTCACCACCCTGCAGCCGACATCCGGTGACGTCACCTGACGCCCATCACCGCCGGCTGATCTCTTGGAACGGGCGTGACTTCATTCCGCAGTGTCGGTTCGGCGGGAGCCCGACCATTGTAGACGCCACGGATGACCCCCGTGTGTTTGTTGCCGCCGTTGCCTGGTTCGCCGCGGTGTCCCACGAGCGCCGCGCCGCACAGGCTGGGACCCTCAGCCGCACCGCTGCTGCGCTGGCGCGATGGGTTTGTTGATGTTTGTTGGTCGTCGCAGTCAGGTCCGGTGCCACGGGGTGATGATTTGGGGAGGGGGAGGGGGCAGACCGCTCCGACGCCGTGCCTGGGCCAGGCGTGCCGGTGGTGACGTTGATTGGGGGAGGGGAAGGGACGGACTGCGCTGACGGCGCGCCTCGGCCAGGCGTGCCGGTGGTGACGTTGATTGGGGGAGGGGAAGGGACGGACTGCGCTGACGGCGCGCCTCGGCCAGGCGTGCCGGTGGTGACGTTGATTGGGGGAGGGGAAGGGACGGACCGCGCTAACGGCGCGCCTCGGCCAGGCGTGCCGGTGGTGACGTTGGCGAGGGATCCAGAGCCGGCCGCCGCCGGCGCAGCAGCAGCGGCCACCAGCGCAGCCACCGCCGCCCGCCGCCGCCGCTGCCGCCCCGGCCCCCTCGGCCGTCGGCCCGGCTGAACCCGCCGCCGCCGCCGCCGCCGCTGGGGCTGCTGCCGAGCCCGTCGGCAAGCCCGCCACCGTGCCGGTAGGTGGCACCACTGACGACGTGGGCGGGGGAGTGGTCAGCGGGGGTGACGGAGCGGGTTAGCGGCGTGTTTGGAATAGTCCGATCGAGACTGGTGTTAGGTCACTCCTCTGTTGCAGCTGTCGTGTGGGTTGTGGTGTTTGGATTGGCAGACATTTGTGTACACGGGTGAGCTTTTCCTCTGTCAGTTTGGTGAGGGGAGCGAAGGTTACGTGGTCAAACCTGCCCACTAAATGCGCGTGGGGTTGCGATTTGGGCGTTTTTGTCTCTGATGGCCACTGGCATTGCATTGGTCAGTAAAGATTGGGATGATTTAAAAATTATAACTGCCGCAAGTTGTATTTGCGTAGTGGCTTGTATTGACGCGGCCATCACCGCCCATTACCATGCGTGCCGGAGCTATCCACCCATCCCTCTGGTGGTGTGTGGCATGTATGGCTGCTTGAGCGTTGTGGGTCAGAGAAGCCGTCGGTTCCACAGACGGCCGCCGAGCGCAAGGCGGCGCCACCGCGCTCCTACTCGGAGGGCGACATGGCGAGCAAGATCAAGGACGGTCTGGACACGGAAGGTGCGTGCCCCGCTACAGACACTGGCGTCGAACTGCTGACTCGTCAAAGGGGCCCCTTTTGACCTCGTTTTGCGTGGTGTCTTACGTGGCGCTGATGGTGTAAAGGTATATGGTAGATGTATGTATGAAGTGGAATAGTAAGACCAGGTGGAAAAACTTAAGGAACCAAATGATAATGATGTATTTATGGTGCATAACGTGCCTCTGTAGGGTCATTAAAAGCTTGTGTCGTGAAGTTGTGTGCTGATGAATTCAGTTGTATTTACGGGCGCGCGCAATAAACCCATGTTCCCGGTCGTTTGGATAAGGATTTGTTTTCTATTCCGACGCTGTGATATAGAAGCAGAGTCCATTACTAAGACAATTTGCACTTTCACGTCTTAAAGTTGTCATGTTTACTTCTAAGATGGTACGTGCCATCCCACAAACGTAGCCCACTGGGTGTGGTACTGATGCGACCAAATCAAACATCGCGGTATGGATTCTGGACTGTCTGTGCCTGTCACACCCGCCCTGCACCAGCCGCAACAGGGAACTGTCTCTGGCCCCTGGTCCCCACACCAGTGGTCTCCGCACTCCTGGACCCGTGCCATTGGTGCCCGCGCCTCCAGTCCTCGCCCCCCCCCCCCCCCCCCGGTCCCCGCGCACCCCTGGTCCCGTGCCCTGGATCCCGCACCCTAGGACCCCATACCCCTGTTGTCTGCGCCCCTGGACCCCACACCCTTGGACCTTGTGCCTCTGGTCCCCGCACCCCGGGTCCCCGCACCCCTGGTCCCCGCGCCCTGGTTCCCGCATCCCCGGTCCCCGCACCCCAGTCCTCCGCGTCCCTGGTCCCTGGGGGCCTGATCTGCTCGCCGCCGGCCGGGCCCGTGTTCCCGGGGGCCGCTAGCCCCCGAGCCTCCTGCCGCGGATCCGTGTCCCCCTCGGCCGGTGACGGCGACCCCCTGACCGCTCACCACATGCGGGCGGCGCCGGCAGACGGCTCGTCGCCGCGCGCCAAGCGGTGCCTGCTGCAGCGGCAGCCGCGCATCAAGCGCGAGTGCGAGCAGCCGGGCCGCGAGCCGACCGAGGAGGGGCGCGCCGGCGCCCGGTCGCCCTCGCTCGCCGCCTCCGTCGAGACGATCGTGTCGGACGCGCCGCCGGCCGGCCCCTACCTGGCTGTACCCGGCTCCTACTGGCCCGTGCGACAGGTGAGCGTGGCCCGCTGGCGGACGGCGCTGGAGGGAGGCGGGGAGGCGCGCGGCGCGGAGACGTGTCTGGTCGGTTGTGGTCTTGTTCGAGTCTGGTCTTCTCGTGGCATCGCTCAGTGCTTCGCCTGGAAGCTTTGGTGGTTCCTTTGCTGATGGTGTTGCCATCGTTGGCTGTTTCAGAGAAAACTGCGCATCTAGTCATGTCTGAATTTAGGGTTTCTGGTGTTCGCCCAAAATACCGTTGAACTGCATATAAGTAGCCCCAGCCGTCAAATACCGTCATGGGGAACGGCGTTCGCTGGAATGTCCCTAACCTGCCACCGCTCATTTTGGCAGCGTCATGTCGCCTATGTGCAGTTCGTATCCGGACCCTTTTATCCGGGCGTGCGCCCCTTCCCCCCCCCAAAAAAAAATCCCGGCATTGTGAACCGCTGATCGCGGTTGCTATTTGCCTTTGGTCGCTCCTCGCCCGCATCATCCAGCGGAATCCGACAATACTGCTACCTCTCCGCTTCTCCGCCAGATGTCGTCGCCGACACCGGTGCTTTCAACACGTGAAGGCACGCTGGTGAAGCAGGGCTCGATGCCGGCCAGCGCCAGCGCGTCGCACGCCGGCCCGGCCGCCGTCCAGAAGCAGCGCTCCGCGCCCGTGCTGTCGCGCGGCGCTTCCGGTCCCGGTGAGTCCCGGAGAGTTCCGGCCTTTGTGCCGGGGACCCCCGGCGTCAGTCCCGGAGACCCCGCGGCGGGCTGGACGGTGCCGCCCGACTGAGACCGGGCCGCTCACTAGAGCTGGTCCGATGCAGCGCGGCGAGACTGTGGGTGTCGGGAGACCATGCGTTCCGCCGTGGTTTTCGTGTTTCCAATGCTCTGGGAGAATCAAGTGAACCCATCTATTCAAAGGCGTCGCTGGCACTTGTAAATCCAAGACCAGCTGGGATCGCGCGAGTGGCGCGAACCGAACGGCGGCCTCTGATGCGCGCCCAGTGCCCGTCCGCTGGCGGGCGGGCGTGTTACCGAACCTGTCGTCTTCCGCAGCATTCTACATGGTCAGCGGGTCGTCCAGCACGCCGCTGATGCCTATGGTGGTCAGCCAGAGCCAGTCGGTGCCGCAGATCCTGCTGACCTCGGTACGGTGCCCAGACGCCGCGGCTGCCTGGCCGCCCCAGTCGGTGTCCGGCTGGAGGATGTGGGTCGTCCGTTTGTCGTCCCTGGAGAGTTATGAGTGGTCTACTTGGTGCCTGCTGCTGAATTGACGGACGCGTGCCACAGCCACACGCGTGGAATTTAGCTTATAGGTATATAGTGCAGGGATTTGTGCCAGTTATTGTGGTATTTAATGCAGGGATTTACGTCGGTTATTGTAGAAAATGCTGGGAGACATTGTTGGGATAGCTTACAATAGATGTTTGAATAACACGACTCGGGTCAGTGCGTGAATGCATCCTCAGGCAGCTACCCAATTGCTCTCGAAAAGATAACGAACGTCACCTGTGGGAGCCATGGCTGACTACTGGTTCCTACGTGCGCCGCCAGGCGGACGATGCGGCACCGGCCGAGCGCTCGCTGGGCTGCCGTTCGCACGCGCCGGTGCTGCGTGACGGCCCGGCCGTCTCGTGCTCCCACTGCTGGAACACGGAGTACTCGCAGGGGCGGACCCTTCGCCGCAAGACAAAGTACATGTGCCGCGACTGCTCAGTCAGCCTCTGCATCGTGCCCTGCTTCCAGGTGGGTCAGCTGGGTGGAGCGCTCGGCGAGGGGCAGCGGCCTGGCGCAGCGGCGGGAAGCATGGAGTGGGCCACGCTTGTGCACTGGTCAAGAGGCGTTGGGGATGGGTCGGTTTTCGGGAAAGCGGGGTTTGGCGGTTGCCTCTCCTAGATGCTGTAGATTGTTTGCAGGCTGTCATGATTCACTCATGTACACACAAACATACACGTGCGCGCACGTGCACGCACACGTACACGCATACGCACGCACGCACGCACGCACATATGTGATGTATGTATGTATATATAAGTATATAGGTATATATAGGTATATATAGTTATCAGGCTGGGCTACTTAAATAAATATTATTATAGTGCACATATGAGCTGTAGTGTAGTTCCGCCGTGGCGACTTCCCAAACGGCGTGCGTACCTCTCCCGCGCTGTTTCTGCCGACCGTGCCCGTCGTAGGGTCGGTCGGCGCCGCCGCGCTAGCGTCGCTGTGACCGTCACCTCGCCGCAGGAGTACCACGAGAGCGTGACCAAGGCGCCCATGGTGGTGTCACGTGACCCGTCGAAGACAGGCACCAAGAAGATCCTGCCCAAGCTGGGGTCGCTCTGAGCGGCCAGCGCGCCGCCGCCCGCCCGCCCGCCCGGGCGCCGTGACACGGACTCAGCGCACCCAGTGCAGAGCCGGCGCCCGCGGAGCAGTCCCAGTCCGGCGGTCGGCGCGTCTGGGTGTGTGTTGGGAAGGGGGGGGGGGGGAGCGGGCGCGCGAGAGCACTGACTGGTGAACACTGAGACCGTGAACGGACCCGGACGCCGCGCGGCCGTCGGCGCCTAACCCGCATAATCTACATTGCCGCGGTGCGCGCCGCGCACTCCATTCACAACGCATCGTCGTGTACCTGACCCTGGCCCGACCGCGCCGCATTTGCCGCGCGTCGCGGGCCCGCCGACGCGAGCGCCCCTGGCGGCCGGCGCGTGAACTTCGCTTGAGTGATAGTGCTGTGCCATGACGCGCGCCGCCTGCCGGCGCGCCGGCCGGAGGAAGGGTATCTCACGGAACGGTGCCGGGTCCGGCCGGCTGCGCCTGGCTTGTTTGGCGTCCCCGGACCGAGCGTTCTCACCTGTATATTGTCCGTGGCGCGGCTGTCTGCGCCGGAATAGCTCACGCAGTTGAGATGGATGCATTCTCTTTTGGAGAGCGTCATAGGAAATAGACGTGATGTTTGTTCTGGGGTGTTTTGTGGGGGTGTGCGGCAGTGGACGCTGTGAGCGGGGTTGTGAACGTATGCCGAATTTCATCGTCGCGCGATGTTCAAAAGTCAGTCTACGAGATCATTCGTAAAGACGCACAATGGGAACGATCTCGGGCAAACGCGTGATTAAAGCGCAGTGCGACCTGAGCCGACGACAATAACCTGTTGGGTTTGGATTGTTGGGCGGAGAGGATACGTTTTCCCGACACATTTCTCTCCCCTTCATGGGTTTTGCACGAATTCTCGGCTGTTCCTGTCAGTGCTGTGCAGGAGCATCGCCACTTAATCTGGTCTGAGTTCAGGGCGTGGTTCACAGACGATGCTCACTGCAGATGTACACATGATGAAAAACGCACATATTGTGAGCTTGAACTGATCCCAGATTATATCGTACAGAAGTTATGCCCGTATCGACTATGTTTAATACATGTATGAATGAATAAATGATTGGGCAACTTCCCCTGTGTACCGCTTGGCAATGATTGGACATGTGCACAAGTTTTCTTAAGCGTAGCGCATTAACCGCGCTGTTCATTTACCACTGACACCCGCGTTTGCCTCTATCCGCGAATGTGGCTCCTGTCCGCCGGCTGTGGCTGGCAGACATCGGTGTTGCTATGGCAACGATGTGTAATCTACCGACGCTGGTCGATAGTGACACCTCGGGTTCGTGGTTTGCTTCGTTCTACGTGGTAGCTTGCTTGTCATACGAGGCGTTAATGGAGTGGTCGGTTTACGTCAGGGCCATATAACTACCGATTTGCGTTTGGAGAACGGTAATGTCAGAGAAGCTGGCCAATGTGAGTCATTGATTTTATTCACTACTCGACCCTGCGTCTTACCCAGCCCTTTTGGCGTCAAGGTATGGCGTATAACCCAACCGAAAGACCTGGAACCCTTAACCTCCGAGGAAGGGGAGAGTACGTCAACACTAAAGTTCGAACGAGTGAACGGTAAGTTCAACGTTTCTTTTGCCCTCGATCTGGGAAAGCGTCTGCCCTGATTACGAACTCGTGAGCAGTTGGATCGGATTGGACTTTGGGCACAGTTGTATGGTATGTAACGAAAGGTTGGGGACCGATCGTTGCTATACGAACGCTTCAATGAGAGTTGTTATGTAGATAGCTATTTGCAGACAGAAAGTGGAAGTCATCTCGTGCGCGGACGATGTGTTGCATGTTTTGACATTCGTCATCACCTGGTATTGGGTAAACGTGGCGTAAATTGGATTTATTTTCGGCTCAACCACCATTAAGTCACCAAAACGAATCGCGAGGTGACAACGGACAGTGTAACACACAACTCTGTGATCGCATTTCTGGCACGGACTCGCAGCGAGCGGTGTTCGCGCGTGCGCATATTTGACACCATCTTACAGACGTGATCCACAGCCGATCTCTAATAAACGCAGGGTGATCAGCGAACAGTCCGAGCCGCGCGACTACGACCCGCTGCACTCTGACATCTGGAACTTGCACAAGTCGTCCTACAAGCGCATGTCGGATCTCACGCACAATGAGTTCCACAGCACTACGAGGGTATGGTGCCTGATCATAGGAGGTAGCGGTCGCAACAGCAGAGAGGCACACTTCAAAGTGTCAAGCTCGCAGAGTTGGCCTGGTCAAAGAACAGACGAGTCATGAAATCATTCCGGGCTCTGCACAACACCATGGAATGAGTTAGCCCAACGCTATTTCAGGTGTAAAATTTACAAAGATGCGTTTCGAGCACTTGACTATCAACGCACTCATGACTGAAAACATGTTTCGCACGATTACGTAGCGCGGTATTCTGACAATCTATTAAATGCTTCAGGGGTTCATAAGCTCCTTGCGTATGCCCTTTGAAGCCTCATGGTCATTGTCGCGGTTATTCCCCGGAGCCGACCAGTGAAGCGGTCCCGCGCGTAAGCGATGCGATGTGTCACCAGGACTCGTTGGACCGCGTGGCGCAGGAACGCGCCAGGATGCCGTACGAGCGCTCCCACCCGCTGCACGTGGTCCGGAGCTTCAACGTGATGGATACCTCACTCAGCAGGTGTGACAGGAGGCATCGAGTTGTGCGCCGCTGACTGGAGACCAGTGTTAAGACGCGCCGGAACACAACTGGACGAAATGTATACTGTCGATATTTATTTCTTTGCGTCCAGGAAATCAGACTTTCAGTCGTTACCTTTCCCATGCTCCCGTTTTCAATTTCTAAGCTATCATATCGGGCTTTTGTATTACTGACAGGATATGGGCTATGGCCGCCGAAGTTTGGAACATACTGCCTAACGCAATGCTCGCTGTTTGCGCTAGGCATGCGTGGATCATGCACACATTCTGCCGTCATTGATAACTTGGGATCACTTGAAACATGCATCGTTTTCACACCATGGCTAGGCGGTTCTGGTTTTGTTTGCAGACAGCTGAAACGACTAGAGACGGGGGCGCTGCCCACCCACCCGGTGGACTACAACCAGCACACGATGAAGTCTACCTACCGCGAGGCGTATGGAAACGAAGGGCGCCAGGGCGCCGTTCGAGAACCGCGCTGTGAGGTCAGGAGACTGTCGGACCCCGCGCTGTGAGGTCAGGATACTGTTGGACCCCGCGCTGTGAGGTCAGGAGACTGTCGGGCCCCGCGCTGTGAGGCTAACCCTCACTTTTCTTGGATTTCAGGAAGCCTGAATTCAGTGAGCCTTGTATTAAGGTGCGTGTGCGTGTGTATGTGAGGGACGGGGGGGGGGGGGGGGAGGGCGCTGCCGCCAAGGTATCTCCGACGTTCAGACTTGCGTCTAATCTCCAGATGACCTTCCCTGGCCTTGTTTGTCGCCAGCCGTCGCCCTCGGCCGACAAGTGGATGCAGTTCCGGCGCCGCAAGTCATGGATGTTTGACACAGACCGATCACCGAGCCAGTTCACTGATGACGCCCTCACCTGCCCGCCCATTCCGAAAGAGGTGAGCGACGCGGCACAGCTGCACAGGTGTGGTGCGGTGTGGCAAAAGGCAAGGCTTTGGATGGAATATGATACCCTTTACGATCGATTTTGGGCTTCAGTTTTGGTATTTTCGAAATTTCGGTCTCTTATTGACGACGAACTTTGATATTGCGCTGGTCTCATTAGACAATATAATTTTGCGCTGGTTTCGGTTCATCCTGTGTTTTGGCCAAGACATTCGCCTCGCATGGCACCTCTCGCAGTTGCGATTTTGACATAGTTGTGGCCGCGGCGGTTCAGTCCGGGGACTGAACGCGCTGCACCTTTGTGGGTGCTGGTACGACCCAGAGAAATGAAGGCGACCCTTTCACTGATATGCAGCTCTAACGAGTCGTAGATATTTGTGTGAGCATGTCTGGCTCCAGGACACACCAAAGTTTTATTGCACATCGTTAGTCGCGTTCCGGGAACAGCGTTGACTGTTACGATGCCCGCTGACTGCCAAGTCGTCGACGGTTTGAGTTGGCTGTTCAAAGAATGGCGCGAGTGGGAATACCACGGTAAAGGCTGGCAGCCTTTCGGAGGGCGTGGCTTCGGTCAGGCGCTCCAGTTCCGGGCGTTCCGGTCTGGTTCCGGACGACTTTTTGTGGCCGTCTTGCTTGACTCGTCAGGTCACGGACAGCTGTAAGCGAAGTGCGTTGTGCCAACGCCAGGTTGATTATCACCACGTAACACGGAAATGATGGATGCCGTCCAGTTTTCTGTCACCGCTTGGCCCCTGTGGTATATGCATTGTATTTGTGAAAAGTCTGGAACCCGCTAAGAAAGCCGATCTGATCTGATTGACTATCTTTTTTGAATGACTAAATTTGTTTGGCAATCCCCGATCTCTTTTGTTTTTCAAACGCTTGACATAACCCCTGGCTCGGGGATGTCGCATCACATTTTCAATCACAGATCACAGGAAAATCACAGATTAAGGTCCCTGCCTGCCGTATCCCAGGTTCGGGCCTGCGTGGAAGCCGCCCAAGAAGCGGGCGACGCCTGCCGAACTGTGGACGAACTGGAGACTCAGGTGGCAGCACTGCAGCACAAGCTGGACGAGACCCACTACCCCCCTCCAGGTAAAAGGTCGCCGAGCAGCGCTGGGCCGGCCGGGCGCCGCCGACTGAGACAGTCGCAAGAGTTCCTACGGACCTCCGCCTCAATGCCGGCCGCCGCCCTTCTGGCTGACTCGAGGTGACGACGACGGAAAGATGCGGACAGGTGATGAAGACATAGCATCGGGGGCGATGCGATTGGAGGCGGGGGTGACGACGGAAACATGCGGGGATGCGACTTGTGACTTGTAAGCGCGGTGGTATATAGTTTGAGGTGCAGTGAAATGTCTGTCGGCGGTGGTTACGACGTGGACATAATCTTAAATCTTGTGCGTTAATGAACCGCCTGATGGGTCGTGATCCATGGGTGATACATTGTTCAACGTGCTGCGAAAGCGAAACTGTTCTGAAAGGATCAGTCAGATCAGCTCCCCACAATTCTTTGCTTAATTATAAAACTACATATCCACGCAAAAAAGCTGTGAAAAGCGCGTTGCCACAAAACACACCGGCTTCGTAACAAGGTGTGCTGTCTTAACTATGGACAATAGCCAACGTTATGCTTTTCGTGGTTGTCGGATGGTTCGTGCCGTGTGGTCGTGCACGGCTCGTCCAGCAACAGACTGATCCCCTAGAACCATTGGCCCTGCTAAAATGGCACGTGTCCGAGGTGTGGAGGAATTACCCGTGAGCCAACCTGGCGGAGGCGGCTTGCGTGCCGGTGCGCGGCATGGGCTGGCAGATCTCCCCCATCTATGACGTCAACGGCGGCTCTGTAAGTCTTCACCAGGGCCAGGACTTGTCCGGAGCGTGGAGCGCCTTCCGACGTGGGCTGGAAATGCCCATGGCTGAATGCTGTGAGGTTCAAGATGTGCTGATGCGTGTCTGTTACCCTGACGCAGGCTTGCAGTAATGCGTAATTTCGGTGCGATGGTAATCGGAGTTTGAAACGATGTCGTGGAGCGTCGGCTGAATTGTTGGGCTGTGTCGGCCTATCGAACCGGCCTTTCCGTGAAAGCTGAGGAAAACGTTTTGGCGCATGGGAAGGAAGCCTAGACGTTGGACTGTTGTCGCAAATGAAGCCCTAGACTATGTTGCAGCTGTAACATGCCCGTGAATACATTAATTTTGACGCCCATACGCAAAAGGTAGACGTGTGCAAACCATTGTACCTCGATACATTTGTGCTACTTCTGACGTCAGCTATAGCCTGGAACCACAGCCAGCGTCATGCTTGGAGGTTGCGGTAATTGGTGATTTGTGACATGATGAACAATCGTACCGAAAACAGGACAGCTAACAGCTATTGCATTGCCTGCTGCGTACTTTCCAAATCAGATTTCGACACATTCCCACCATTCACTGTCCTACCCGGTGCATTCTTTTCCCACCTCACCTCACCTATCCTCTTGCACAGCGGAGCCGTGTAGCGACCCCCCACCTGGTCGCGATCCTGTCAAACCAGGAGCCTCCACCGGACCGCAGCACCGGGACTCATCCACCGAGCATCACGACCCAGCGCGACCGCACGAGTCGCCGCCGGCCGGTCCCAAGGAGAGCCGACACCTGGTCCGGCTGGACGAGTCTGGGCTTTATCAGGAACGAGCCCACACCCCGACAGAGCTGGGCAGACGACAAACCCCCGCTCCGGCCGATCTGGACAGAGGACCAGCGCCCACTCCCGCCGATTTGGACCGAGGACAATCCCCCACGCCGGCGGATCCAGACCGAAGACGAGCCCCCACTCCGGCCGATCTGGACAGAGGACGAGCCCCCACTCCGGCCGATCTGGACAGGAGACAAGCCCCCACTCCGGTCGATTTGGACCGAGGACATGCCCCCACGCCAATCGGTCTGGACGGAGAACGAGCCGCCACCCAGGCTGAGCAGGAAAAGGAGCGAGCCCTGCCCCCGGTCGAGGAGCCCGGCCCGCGCCCCTGCTCCTCCGAGCCTCCGCCCGGCCAAGACTACCCGACGGCGAGGCGACTAGACGGGCCGTGTGCGCCGCCCGAGCGCGACCTGTCGGGCGTGTTCCCGCCCGTGGACACCGTCGAGTGCCCGGGACCGGCGCCGCCGCCGCCGCCGCCGCCCTGCCCGCGCGGCCCAGTGCCGTGCGCTCACGACCCGACGCCGGCGCCGTGCTCACCGGCGCCGCCGCCGCCCGGTCGCTACCGCTCCTCGTACACGGCGGCGTACGCTGATCCGGATGCTGGCCTGCGCGCGACGGCGGCGCCCCGCTCGGCGCTGGAGCTGTACCGCGGCGGGCCCCCGCTGCCGCGGCTGGTGGCCGGTAGCCGCCGCTGCCGGGACGGCGTGGCGCTGGCGGTGTCAGGCGACCGCGAGCCGCAGCCAGGCCCCACCACGCCCGCCGCTTGTGAGGAGACGGTCTGAGCAGGTGGGAGGCGGCTCTCCTGGCAGGGGCCTGCGAGATGGGATGCTCCGGAGGCTGGAGGTCGGTATGTCCGGCGCAGATTCGTGCGTCGCTAGCCAGCAGGACTAAGAGGATCAGTCAGACCGGTCTGTGCTGCAAGACGTGAGAGTGAGCTGTGATACTCGAGGGGGGGGGGGGATGCCGCGACCTTGGGTGACTTTGATCTCCTACGCTCAGCGTCAGAAAATTTTGAGGAAACATCTGTCTTGTAATGGAAAAAATGCGTGTCCGTGCATGGGTTACGCCACTGCAAATTTTCAGTTCCATCCTGAGCATCGCCCAGTGGTGAGGATAGCTAACACGACTCCCAAACAATAAAGTCCTTCGAACTGCGGTCACCTTTACAGAACTTGTTTAAATCAGTAATCTCGTCGCGCTTGAAAGCTGCTTATCTTCTCAAAGCGAGATATTCCACATACTCGAGGTGAACTGTGAGACTATCAACAGCCAATGCTGGGGAGACACACCAACGAAGAACTCTCGGTATGTGTTTTCCGACAAGGAATCCGGCAGTTTTTTGTATCTCTGGTGCACGGCAAGGCTGTGGGTATGTTGTGGCGAGGCATGCAAACGCTATGCCCAGACTAATACGCTGAAGTCCGAATAAAAACCTTTGCCTTGCGGATCTGCGATGACTACATAAGCACACCTGCGGATGAAGGTATATTATTACACTAATATAACAATGTCTGGTGGAATAGATCCGTGGATGATGAACTACATTTCACAGTGACTAATCGACAATAATTTCCATTTCTATCTCGCATATGTTTTGTCTGTCCTTGCATCGCAATCAAGCATTCATTCACTGCACTGAAAAAGAGAACACCTGAAGAGAACACGACAATGCTCGATTTATATTTGAAGATGCTTAGTTTTAGTAAGTGAACGAGGTTTTCGCTACACTTATTCACTCATATGTCGCGTGCCTGGCCGGCCGTTGCCTGCTGACTGCCGGAACATAACCTGCAACGCTTCGTTTTATTGACAAGGCAGCAACTGCACTCGGCTCGATCACTAGCCTCATCTTCGGCTGGATGGACACTGTGCTTGAACTACTGTCCATGGCAAAAACGCGACTGTGGCGGAGCGGCCTCGTCAATGAACCCTGCTAGAGGATAAATAATGCAAACTCCATGTCTTGCGACTAATCTGATTCAGCGAAGTGGCGCAAATGGGAGATCAAAACCTCAAAAGTCGGCAGTTCCCAGTTTCTGCCTCCAACATCTGCTTTTACCATGGAAATTGAAAGTTTGACGAATACTTTTTATCGTTGAGGACCAGCTCGTGACCATAAGCGTCGCTAGAAGCGACGATTATTTTGATGATATATCCCGATGATTGCTTAATATTTCCATGCAACCAGTGCTTCCCAGTATGATGAATATCGGTGAATTTCATCTCAAGATCTCATTATGCCCCCAAAAACAGAAACAAAAAACTGGAAATCTTAATGCCTCTCTTCTTATATCAACCATTTCTAACTAATTCGAACAACCCAATGACTGATTCTCTGGGGATGTTTGGAAGGGTGCGGTACTGTACTTAGCTTGAGGAGGCCGTGTCCCCCCCCCCCCCCCCCGATTCTGACTTCTACCTGAGTCCACTGAGCACAGCAGCCAGCCCTGCTAATCTCGCATATGCCCCGGAAAGACTCAGAGAGATGCAACGGGCGAAGAAACAATATTGAACAGATTTTCTCCTTGCTGAAACCCGTCCGTATATACCACATATGTAGTACGTCTGTTACATATGCCGTGTTTGCAGCCAACAGAGGTATCAACATGAGAATCCATGCCGTTCGCAAGGTCGTTTGGAGAGAGGAGGGAAGGGGTTCTGTCCTTGGCTGGGGAGATGAACCTCCGACGCTCCCAAAGGCTCACCTCAAATTTGGCTCAAAATTTGTCCCCAAATTTTGGTCACCTTATCTCGCCATCCGAAGAAGGTCGCCTTTTCATAAAATTGGGGTTTGCGTCTATCACTTAAATTTTACGAAAGCGTGGTGTACAGGGCTAAGCGAACTTTGCTAACTTGGAACGGGCGAAGGCTGAGATGCAAGATAGAGGCTCGAGTCCCTCTTTCTGAATACGACCTTACGTCCATGGCTGCACATCGGTCATGCATTATCATAAATACATACCGTGTCACGCGGGGGAAGAATAGTGCCATACATAATGTAGCGAAAGGCATCACGATCTTACACAAATGACAGAATGTTACGATCTTTATGATCTCACACCGGCCTTCAACACCTGTGCGCGAGGAAGTACGCGGTACCATGCACCCATAAGACGAGAGGTGGGCCGCTAGGCGACGTTTCGGCAAGGTCTGTAGGCCGTGAGATCGCTGGATCGTGACGGTCACGGCGGCGCTCGCCGGCCGCGGGCGAGCTGTACAGCTCGCCCGCGGCCGGCGCCCCGCTCCCACGGCCGGCCCGGCCTGCGGAGGAGAGCAGCGCCGGCGCCGCCGCCGCCGCAGGAAAAATCCGGTCGCGATGCGCGCGGGCGCCGGTCGAACCGGTCGACCCGGGCGGCTCCCACGGCTCACCCTCACGACCGCGGAGTGTGACTCAGCCGGACGGTCCGCGCCGGGGTCACCCCTGGCGCTGGCGAGGTCAGGAGTCATGTCGTCTCGGCCGGAGCGGGGCGGGAGCAGGTGATGCGCAGCAGGCCGGCGGTTCTCATCGGCCAGTGCATCGGCCAGCCTGGTGGGATTCTCATCGGTCAGCCAGGTGGTTCTCATCGGTCAACCGGGCGGTGCTCTCATCGACCAGCCGCCGGGCGGCTCTCATCGGCCAGCCGGGCGGTTCTCATCGACCAGCTGTACGGTTCTTATCGGCCAGCCGGGCAGTTCTCATCGGCCAGCCGAGTGGTTCTCACCGGTCAGCCGGGCGGCTGCAAGACTTATGCCGGTCCAAGATGCGATGTGTCAAAGGCATTGCACCGGCCAGCATCAGAATGATCTATGAAACCAGCGCGATGTTGAACATATCGGATTCAGTGCTTTCCCTGCTTGACCTGATGTCATTGATCCACCGTGGCCTGGGTCTTCGGAGGGACATGGGGTACCTGCATTTGTCGCCTTATTTGCCTGCATTCGTTTTCAAGAAGAGCCTCGGGCTGGTGGGCACTCGTGCATAGTTCCGGACCGTCTTATACATGACTTACCTAGCCAGGGGTGTGGAGTGACGTTTGACAGTAATCTTGGCGACGATCAGTAAAAGCTGCTTAAAGGCTTTACTTGTGTCCTTGTCGTAAATCTAGAATATGCGATGAGCCATATGCTCTCACCTCATATACGCACTGTGGGGCTTCTCTGACATCTAACCTGAACACTGGTGACATGTTTAAGAGATTTTAGCGTCCCTGTTGGATTAAATTAATTATAGTTGTTGTGCTCTTATATAATATATAAACGCCTATATGCGTGAGGTGTTCCGTCGAAGAACACCAGAATCTCACGCATCACCATCCGGCGATTGATGATATGATCTTTATCTCGGATGTAAATAACTTTCAAGATCTGCGGCCTTGTCTTGTTTGTGCACTGAGTGATGATCCCGGTGTTTGTTATCCCGGTGTTTGTTATCTTTGGTGAACCCTTGATGAAGGGATGTCTTCAGGCGCTGGAAGACAGCTCCATTCTGCACATTTAGAGTTATCCTTTCGCTTAACGTAGTTGTAGTGTGAAATAGGCAGGAAGAGCTTGGACAGTCCGCACAATCACCGGTAGTACAATTTAAGTCATGCAGCACATTGCTAATCAAAGTCACGCACCACATTGTTGGATTGCAACGGCGAAAACTGGGACGTAAGATTGTTCTTCATCGCCACATTATTGGTGCGTGGGCTCTGCCAGGTGCTAAGGAAATAATGATAAATCTTAAATAATTAATGCTACATTCGCTGTCATGTTCGATGACAAATGTATCGACAACGTGCTCCCAGCGTGACCAATATATCGCGACGTTTTGCTCTATTTGCGTTGATTAAACATTGTTATGAGAAAGGCCTAATGACCAAAATGTCGTGAAATATGAGTGCATAACACTACAATTTGAACCCTTCTCTAGACGAGTGTCTTTGTAAATGATCATCTAACTTGTCGAGTGACTGGTGATCTTACCGCATGTGATATGATCAGTCACTTGTACAAATGCGCGTTTAACTGTCGGCGCAGCTTCCAGTGCACTCAGCAAGGTCGTCTCAGCCTCCGGAACACTGTCCGTCGAGCGGGAAGGCAAAGGTTGAGAGCAGGGAGGCAGGCACCATCCCCACCCCTTCACTCCTCCTCTCGCTCCCCCTCACACTCTCCGCAAAAATTCGCTACAACGCCATGGCGCTGCTTGAAAAAACGAAGAAAACTTGTTCCCCCATTCCCACGGAGCGCCTGGCGGGACTGCGGTCGCAGCGAGCGCCGGCGCGTTTCGTGAGTGGCTGCGGCCTCTGTCGGTCAATCTTCGTGACGCGTCCCGCACGACGTTGTGACGCCCAACCGACGGGCCACGCCGCGCGTGACCAGCTCATCGCCGGGCCTCATTCGTCGGCTGCTACGCTGCACTGGTGGGAGGCGCCATCACACCTACCCCGGACGGGGCCAGGGGTCAGGAGGTCAATGTCGACAGGTTATTGGCGAGGTAGCTGCTCCCGGCGGAGTGTTGGTAACATATGCTTGCTGCAAACGTAAAACAGCAAATGCCAGTAACGCTGTTTTTGAGTCTGCGTCTTTTTGACTCGGACACACAGGTGCAGACACAGACACAGACAGAGACACAGGCACACACACACACACACACACACACACACACACACACACACACACACACACACACACACACACACACACACAGACATAGACCTAGACACATAAAGACACACACAGGCGCAGACAGACATATACAGACACACACAGACACAAACATAGCCACAGAAACAGACATAGAGAGGCGCAGACACAGACACAGACGCAGATACAGACGCAGACGTAGACACAGACACAGACACAGACACAGACACACAGGCACAAACACGGACACGGACACGGACACGGATACGGATACGGACACGGACACGGACACGGACACGGACACGGACACGGACACAGACACAGACACAGACGCTGTTATTAACACTAAAACCAATGCCTACAGGCAAATGACATACGCGCGCAACACACCTACACACTAAAAGAGAGACGTGCTTCAAACCTTACACGCTAAATAGTTAATACGCACGCAATACAATAAAGAATAGCATGCTCGCAAGTCGACATTGTCGCCGACATTGAGGATTTACGACGCACTCAGCTGCTGAGGTCATGTGCCGCATAGCGTCGCCTACCTCTCACATTGCGTTGCGCCACCTCATACTCGCAAGTCTGCACGTTGTAAGTGTAACAGTTATCTGCTAGCCATGTTGAAAGACATTCGATCGTTGGACGTTTCAGCGATCTCGCTGTATACTGCTACGCTTCACTACAGACAGGCTGTTTCCCGGCTGCCTGGGTTCTGACCTTCGTCAGGAGCAATCGGCCGGCATGTCTCATTCAGCATTAATGAGCGCTTCAGTGTACTCGATATGCTGTCTGGCTGGTGCGAGCCAAAAATCCGCGCACGGGACATATTCTGCGGCACACGACTAAGCCACGGGCATTCAGTACTTTAAGGCGCGCAACACGTCCGATCTGCGGCTGTGTTCTCATCGCCCACTGATGATTCAACAACATCGCGGCGTTGCTTTATAGACGCGTTTTAGCTCAGTGCCACTTCACGTTCCATGGATAGCTTCAGTCACGTAATGCGTCATCTGCTGTGATTCACGGGGTATGAATCGGTGTAATTTAGCCGAGAAACTGCGGCCAATTCCAGACACGTAACACTGAGCTCTCAGACAATCATCATATGGTCCGTGGTGTGCAGCCAGTGCTCTGGACGACGGCGCTCTGCCTTCGAGATGGTCTCAGCCCTCATCCCATACATGTGGAGACATGCCCTCCTGGTACGAATCAAGGCCGGATGATAACCACACGGGATTACATAGAGAAAGATGCAATCTTGTAATCCCTCTTCTCTCCCAAAAAGGCCAGTTCACTTATATAAGGCATCTTAGTCATACGCCTGCCTGGTGTTCGCCACAGGTTGGGATGGCCGTAGACCGTGGGCTCGGTTACGGATACGCTAGGACCGGGTCTGTATTTCCGGAAAAAACATACCGGCTGTGGGTGGGTTACAGCTCTGGAAAAAGCACATAGCTGGTAAGCCGAGAACACAAGAAAGTTGGAAATGACCAAATAAGGAACACGTCATTCGACACGCTCAATTTGGTACCGCTGTCTTTCGAGGTGATTAATGCACGTGTTATCAACATTTTTTGTAGATATGCCTCTGTACAATTGATTGCAGATTGCGTCAGTTTCAGCTGGTAAACCCGGACCAGCCGGCGCTCCACGCCCTGTGAATAAACGGACCTGGCCTAGCTCCGTGTCACATGTGGAACTTGCCCTCAAGCTTGGGACTGCGCATGAGTTTTGCGAGCTCTTTTCTGGGCGTATAATGTCATAGGTCTAAAGTGAAATCTCCGAAACGTTTACGGAAATAAGTCGGGAAGAAAACGTTCGAAAAATTCCGATAATGCGCCTGCATCATCAGTTGCTTCGTCCCATTGCCCAGACTAATAATATCCGAGGGCTTCGGCTCGGGTATGTAACCTTGTGTGACCTCTGTGTAACCCTGATCGAACAGCGTACTGCCGTGCCGTTCTGTTGAAAATACCGTGTTGGGTTTATACGATACACAGCGTCAGCAGAAGCCCCAGCCGTGATAGTCACAGATTATGGCTTTCCCATCCACCTCGCACAGATGCACACTGCCGCCGCCTGAGCTATGAAAACCACGGGAATTTCGGCATCGACCGCACTCACGACGCCGCCTTATTTACTGAAATCCACCGACAGGGCTGAAGACGCTGCGACGTCGGCCGGTGGCGGCAGCATCCCGGCCGCACATCCCCCAACCGGTGCCGGTGGCATTCCTCCGCGTTCTGTTGCGCGGCGCAAAACGTCCGCCCGCCCGACCGGTTACATCAATGATAAGCGGCTTAGCAGTAAGCCGCATCCCGCGGCTAATGCCGACCGCGGCTCCTGACTCGAGGGCCAAGGCCGGTGGGCCCGGGCCGGCCGGCGCGTTCAGTACCTCACCACGCGCCCCTCCGTCATGACGTCTCCCGCGCGACTGCTGCCGCTGGCGCTGGCGCTGGCGCTGGCGGCGCTGAGCTGGCGCGCCGCCGCCCAGGAGCCGACCGACCCGCCGATGCACCCGTGCGAGCCGGGGGTGCCGCAGGAGCTGTGCGAGCAGCCGGCGACCACCGTCGAGCCGGGCGGCGGCGGCATACTCTGCGAGCCGGGGCTGACGTGCGGCGAACAAGCCGAGTCGAAGCCGGAGCCGAAGCCGGAGCCGGAGCCAGAGTCGGAGTCGGAGCCGGAGCCGCAGCCGGAACCGGAGCCGGAGCCGGAGTCGCAGCCGGAGCTAGCGATGAAGCCGTCGGCCGTCTGCCCGCCGGGCACCAGCGAGCTGACCTGCCGGCAGGCGGACAACGCCACCCTCTGCAGCGGGCGGGGCAGCTGCGAGTGCGGCCGGTGCCGCTGCCACGGCGCCGGCATCAGCGGGCCGCTGTGCGAATGCGACGCCGAGGAGCGCTGCCCCGTGTCGGGCGTCGGGCAGCCGTGCGGAGGCGAGACGCACGGCACATGCCGCTGCGGCGTCTGCGAGTGCCTGCCCGGCTGGCAGGGTGCCGCCTGCGGCGAGCGCTTGTGCCCGCCGCGCGCCGGCCCCGACCACTGCCGACCAGCCGACGCCGACGCCGACGAGCCCGTGTGCTCGGGCCGCGGCAGCTGCGAGTGCGGCGAGTGCCAGTGCGTCAGCCACGGCTTCGAGCAGTACACCGGCGAGTTCTGCCACATCTGCCCCACCTGCCCGGCGCAGTGCGGCGATTACGCCGCCTGCGTTCAGAGCCGGCTGTTCGCCACCGGCGTCTCGCCGCCGCTCAGCCGGTTCTGCCAGGGCCTGGCGCTCGAGTTGGTGGAAGAGCTGGTTCCCGTCGCGGCGGACGAACAGGTGTGCACGGCGCCGCTCGACGACGGCCAGTGCCGCTTCCAGTTCGCACTGACGCACCACGTCGCCACAATGAGCGTCAACGTTCGCGCGAAGCAGGAGCGACTCTGCTTCGCCGACGCCAGCGAGGACGGCAGCCGCCTCGAGGAGGACCAGGACGACGGCGAGGTGGCGGAAGACGGCATGCGGCACGAAGAGCCGGTCGCGATCAGGGAAAAGATGGCCGACTTTGCGGAGGAGCCTGAGGAGCCGAAGGAGAGCGCCAGCACCGAAGCTGGAAGCGACGCTGGAGCGGTGTCGGCTTGTTTTTCTGTACTTCTGTGCGGTTTGGCGGTGCTGCTGCATCTCTATTAGCCCAAACACAGAAAAGACACAGTGTTTGCGCCCCGCGATATACGGGAACAGCCTAGCGAACGAACTTTTGAAATATTGCCTCTTGGCACTGCGAATGGCCTCGTCTGTCTGGGCGCTTGAGTGGGGGAGCGCTTCATCACGGGTGACCACACGCGGCTTTATCCCCTCCGAAACAACATTAACTTGGCGCGGAGCACACCGGCAGCGCATTACATAGGAGATTAGTGTGGGGCAGTCAGCGCTTCTTCAAGAGGGCATCGTCCGGCCAGTGACACCTGACGTCGTTGCGCCGGAGCCGGCGGCCTGTCCACGCGACGAGCTCCTCACGAAGCTGTACGGCAGACAACGGCGATGGGGCGATAGTGCCCGGCTGACGTCAGGCAGCTCTGGCCTGCGAACCGCAAAAGCCACCCGACCACTCTAAAAATGGCCCGACAGCGTGCTCTTTGTCTGAGCTTAGTGACAGCTCCGGGATCCGGATTCCAGCGGCTCTCGCTCGCTGCCTCGACACGGTCGGAGACCTCGCCGTGGAGAGATCCAGCCGCGATGTCGCGAGAGCACCACTGCCCCGCGGCGGTTCTCTTCGGACTACTGCGCACTACTTGCGGGGGGCTTCGCTCTGTCGCCGCCAGCTCTCGCGGCGCCTAACATGCGTCTGCCCGACCGGCACTGTTTCCACTGCGCTATGGCGCCTGCAGCGAGCGGAGGATGGTTGTTTTGCTGGTTGGCTGGTTGTCTGGTTGTTTAGCTGGTTGGTTGGTAGGTCGTCGCTCAGCGCGCCCGCCTGTATGACGCCGCCCGCTGACGAAGCCCGCACGGCACGGCGTCAGGCTCATCCGGGGCCCCGCCGACCGCCGCTCGTGCAGCGGGACGAGCAGGCCAGCCGGACGGCCCCGGCGGCGCTGCTCGGCCACCCCCTGTTCGTGCAGCTCTCATCCGGGAGTGGCTTGTGGCCGGCGGGCTGTTCGCGCCACCTGGTCTACCGATGACGTCAAAGCGCCGTCTGCGGGCGCGCTGTGAGGTCAGCAGAGGCTCGATCACCGAGATCGGCCGTGCCTGCCGCGGCGGGGACGTTTGCGAGCCGCCTGTGGCGACGAGAGGATGAAAAGTACCTATAGCGACTACCCCGACAGCCTTGATGTCAGTTATTATTATGGTGAGAGTGACTGCGCATGGCTGTGGTTTGCCTACCCAGAAGGAAATGTCTACTCTGTGCGGAGGTGTGTGTAGATGTCTACTCCGCAACCGTCTCTCTGATAAACCTACACACTTTACCGGTGTGTGGCTTTATCAATCCTCGTCTGCCATTACCAGGTGATAATACATTACTCCCGATTATCACCTTTGATATGTGCTGCTAATATTCAGCTAAAGGAATCAGATGGCATCTGCACCACGAGAATCATAGAGCTGACGCTGAGTACCGCGATGCCACACATTATCCCAGCATGCAGGTGATAACGCTTGCGCTCATGGCATGCCTTTCTGCATAGCCGCCAGAACACAAAGGCCTCGGCGAAATCTCCGTAGCTTTTTCGAAAGCAGCCGCGGGGGAGTTGGACGCCATCCCAGACCATGAGTCACCAAACCCTGCAAGAACGCCATTCTTTCGAGGTGGAGGCAGCGTGGATGACGCATTCCTGCACCGGTATGGCACCGCGTGGCACCAGCGATCCCCCGCTTCTCCGCGCGGGGCCGAGCCGGACCGGGCCGGGTCGGGTCGGGGAGGCGAACCGGCCACGTGGTCAGCGACCTTCCGGCGTCGGGCGTCGCGCCGGGGTCGAGGCGAGCTGGACTGGGGGGGGGGGGGGTCCGGCCCGCTTCCCGTCATCGGTGGACGAAGGGCAGACGTCGCCGGACGGGGCAGGTGAGGCTGCCAGGTGCGATGCAGGTGGCGTGAGGTGCAGGGGCGGGCAGGCCCGTCCGTTACGCCACCGCAGGGCAGCGCACGATGGCGCTCATGTGATACGAGCCACTCCGAGATATGCTGAGCTTGCGGGATGTTTGCACGCAATGCATGCTGTAAGAAGGCAGGCGTTTGAACATTCAGTGTTACAGTATGAAACAAAACATGTTTTTCGGACGTGCGAGGTACAACTATGTAAAAGTCGCCTGACATGTTTGAATGCACGTTTGGAAAATTTAAGGCTCGTTTGAAAAGCTTGTGGGTATGGGTGCCTCGGTGTCAAATGAAACGCTGCTGCGTGCTGCAGGCGTTGCAGTCTCCAGCGATGAGACATTTCAGTTGGCTTTGTACATCAAGCAAAGCCTGCCGTGCTGGAAAGGATAATACAACGTATGCATATTTTGTATATATACATACATATATATATATATATATATATATATATATATATATGATATACATATCTAATGCATATATGTGTATTGTATATAGTGCATATATATGCATGCATGTATGCGTGAATCCAAGTTCCGCCAACAATCCTGCGGGATCCACCATTCATAGATCACCGGACTGTCTGAGAAACACAGCAGGCCGGCTAAGCCGTTCCCGCGCCAGGAGACTGCAAAAAAGATCCTGGGACGCCGCGCCGGGGGAAGAGCCGGCCGTGCATCCAGCTGCCGCTGCCGCCCCAGCCGTCGGCCGTCACCAGCACGGCGCGTCGCCCACGGTCAGCCACGTTTGCAGAGCTTCGTGCAGCCTTGGGCTGAACTTTGAACCCTCCACCGCCATAGGACGTCGTGGTGTGCCACCACAGCTCGTCTTGCGATGTTTCCCTGTCACCTCCGCACGTCAATGACCTCGTAAATGGGTTATATACGGCTTCATCGACGTCTGAAATATATGTTGTCTCAGACAAAGTTATCACCTCAGGGAACCTGGTTGCAATCAGTCCATCTCCTAATCAGGCTTGTCGCTACCGAACAGTTTTAAGGTTATTAACGTTGTCTGTCTTTGGAAATTCCGCTGAAATGCCGTTAATTTGCAGCTGGAGGATTACGTTACCGAAATACACGTCAGGTCAACAACTGAAGGCTGTACCTGTTCGCCTAATCCATGTGCGAGCTCGCAGCAGGCCAGAAACTTTGCCAAGGATGAATGTAAAATAATCCTCAAATGATCATCTTGGCGTTTTTGTGATCGACCGACTCAACACGCCCACGGATCCAACCTCCTACAGAGGACGTCGCTGTTGACAGTAGCGTGGTCCAGGGGACGGCATTTGTCATCGCTGCCAACAGAGATCGGAGAGCGTGACATGAACACGCCATGCGATCTATCGAAAGCGTTTGATAACGCCGACCGCAGCGCTCCCTTCACAATGCTGGAAGGTCGCAGTGCAGTCACGCTCTGGCGTTGCGACCTACGTCACTGGTAAAGAGCAGCGTAAAAGGCAGTACCAACTCAGAGGAAGATGAGCTGGTGTGCTTCAGGAGAGAACGATGCGTCCGACATTATTCGCCGTTTTTACGGATGGTCTCTCGCGTCACCAGTCCGACAACTGCAAAATTGTACCTCACGTTAATAGCTCCTTTTTTCATAGCGTACCGCCAACCGAGGTCCGACTTCGTGACTTCGTTAGGATATGGATGTTCATTAAGGAACGCCGCCACATTGTAGCAGACAATCAGGCAATCCTGACAGAGCTGATACCAGCTTGTTTGGAACACCTGCACCCACAAAAAGATCTTTAGTTTTCGAATGGCTTCTTCCATGGGGCCTCTCTGGGCCAGGTCGACCACATCAAACTTTTTAGTGAACACGCATCTCAAAATTTGTATGGGTCAAAAAGGGCTGTCAAGGTTATTCGGCACTGGTGCGGCTTCCCCATCACTCTCACGACGCTCAGTGAAATCCTGCCATACCACAAGGCCTTGATTCAAGCGTTTAGTATTCACTGAACACGACACCAATTTACAATTACATAGGTTTGACAAAATGCTGAACTTTACAACCACTATCACCGCACCAAACACGGCGGTATGAACGCATCAGAAACACAGAAGCACCTCGGATGAATGCATGTCAGCTACGTCACCGGGTAACAAGTGCACACGATGGTGCACACAAGCGAAACTCCTTATTACAATCTGAGATCGTTGGCGGGAGTCGCCGAGCAGACCACCCGCGCAGCTGCTGGTCATACGCTGAAAACACGGCATTGAAGGCTAGAAGCCGTGCAGAACAGCGAATCCGCGCGTGCTTTAAGAACAATGAATCAATAATAGAACAAGACACATTATTTGGGAACCCTCCCGAATGCCTTCCGGAGGTGTGTAAAGAAATAGTTGCTGAGCATTAACAATGTTTTCAGACTATCTCACTTCAGAGTCATAGGCAGATCCCGGCGGAGGGAGCACGGGGCCATGAACCCCCAAAACCTCTGAGAGTATGTTTTGGCCCCCCCAAAACATTCCCAGAACTTCATAAAAGTTTCGTCTGCTTACCGTCTGTTTTTACTTTAACTGTTTTAACTGTTTTGTTTTAACTTCTGTTTAAGATTCAAAAGCATTTCCGTGCTTTTTCGGTTTTGAGTGGTGTCCCTATTAGATACTCGCGAGAGGAACCATGCACTGGACCTCGGATCCCACACCAGCCAGCTCGCGACAACCGGTTGCTCCCCCCCCCCCCAAAAAAAAACTCCAGGCTAGATCCGCCCCTGTTCATGGCGCCTAAGGACTTGTAGGTTTGTTCCATATCTATATGGGGTTTTGAACTGAAATAGCCGTCATGAACATCATTTGTTGCAGTAAACAACCTTGCTCTTCTCAAGACTTAAAACCCTCTAATTTCCGAGTTACACGTCCGCGAAGTTGTGCAGGCTGCCAGTGGCATACTATTTCAAGGGCATTCAGGCAAACGGCGCCATAGATACGACACTGAAATCATCCCATTGGCCGTGAGGCGTTCAAGGCCAAGTATGACCGCCGAGTCATTCCTGCCTGGTGTACATTCGCACGATTTCCGGGTAAAGTGGACTTCATCTGGCCCTCAATCAATGTTATGCGTTCAGTGCGGGTGTCAGACACGAAAC